CGTATAGAGCTTGTAGAGTACATGTAAACTATTTACAACCATTTTTTTTTTTGGTGCTGCCCGCCGTACAGGTTACAACGGTTGACCAGTCGTCGTAAGTTGATATGGCATAGTAAGCACATCTGAGCCACGGCGTGGCTTATGACTTAATACATGAACTTTACCTATCTGTTATAAGCCGGGCACAATATTACGGGCTTATGATGGATCGTGAGCGGATATGATCCGCTACATTTCATCCCCGATTTTTCCGACATTGATTGCTCCCAGTGATGGTAAATAATATTTTAAAACCGGCCGTTTTCCCGAAGACATTTAAAACTGGTTTATAAACGCCCGTTTATAAACCAGTTTACACAAACACGACTAAATTACAAAGCCCTAGCACTGGGCAGAGTTGCAAAAAACTACTCGTGCACACCATGCCCTCGGGAGGAATCGAACCTCCCCCTCCTCGTCAAACTCGTTGCCAAGCAGCTACGGATTCGAGGCGGTCCTACGACCCACGAAGGCTTCCTCCCTCCTACTCTCTTATGTATCCCATGGACAATAACGCGATTAGCAGGCACAGTGCAAAAAACCACGCATAGATCTTGCTATGCCTCCGGAAGGATTCGAACCTCCGCTTCCTCGTCATTACACGTACAGCAAGCTACGGATTCGAGGCGGTCACCATGACCCACAAAGGCTTTCCCTTCCACATCCTGCCCCCTTATATCCTATGAATAATATTGCGATTAGCGGGCGCAGTGCAAAAAAGGTGATGCCCGCCAAATACATGCCCCCGAGAGGAATCGAACCTCCTCTTCCTCGTTACACACATCTTTGGAAACAAGTTACGGATTCGAGGCGGTCCCCGAGACCACGAAGGCCTTTCTGGATGCATTCCATCCTTGTATATCCTACGAATCAAATCGTGATTAGCAGGCGCAGTGCAACAAGCCTCAATTCTTATGCCCACAGGAGGAATCAAACCTCCCTTCTCCCTCCTCTTTAACTCGTTGACTGATTCAACGGAACGGATCCGAGGCGGTCACCATGACCCACGAAGGCTTTTCTGGGTGCATTCAGTGCTTGTATATATCCTACGAATATAATGTGATCAGCGCAGTGCACGAAGGCCTTCCTACCTTCTCCCCCTGCCTTCTTATAAATCCCTGCGAAAAATGCGATTAGCGCAGCAACGCAAAAAACGCTACTGATGTGTTTTCGCCCATGCCCTCGGGGGGAATCGAACGCCGTTCTCCTCGTCAAACGTACTATGGTCGAAGGTACGGATTCGAGGCGGTCACCACGACCCACGAAGGCTTTATTCCTCCCTCTTGTTCACGTATATATATATCCCTGAGAGTAATAAAATGATCAGCGGGCGCGAAGCAAAAATCCCTCGCTTATCAACGCCTTTAGGAGGAATCGAACCTCCTTATTAACGTTTGCAAATTCACAATAACGATGTGAGGCGGTCCCCATGACCCACGAAGGCTTCCTACCTCCCTCCTGTCCTAGTATATATCCCTGTGAATAATGATACATATGAGCAGCGGAAAAAGCGACATTGATGTATATGCCCCCGGGAGGAATCCAACCTCCTCATTAAACTCACTTTGGACAAGTTACGGATTTGAGGCGGTCTCCAGGACCCACGAAGGCTTTCCTCCTCCCTCCTGTCCTAGTATATATCCCTGTGAATAATGACACATATGAGCAGCGAAAAAAGTGACATTGATGTATATGCCTCCGGGAGGAATCCAACCTCCTCCTCCTCGTTAAACTCACTTTGGACAAGTTACGGATTCGAGGCGGTCCCCAGGACACTCGAAGGCTTTCCTCCTCCCCCTGCCTTCTCATAAATCCCTGCGAAAAAATGCGATTAGCGCAGCAACCCAAAAAACGCTACTGATGTGTTTTCGCCCATGCCCTCGAGAGGAATCAAACCCCGTTCTCCTCGTCAAAGGCACTTTGGGCCCAGGTACGGATTCGAGGCGGTCATCATGACCCACGAAGGGTTTGCTAGGTGGTTCAGCCCTCGTATACATCCTATGAATAAAAATGCAATTAGCGTCGCCGAAAAAAAATATCGAATCCATTCTGGCTTATGCCTTCGGGAGGAATTGAACTTCCTCCCATCTCAACCAATGGATCCGAGGCGGTCCCCATGATCCACAAAGGCTTTCCTACCTCCTTTTTTGTCTTGTATAAGTATGAGTTCACCTGCGAATGCTAATGCGATTAACGCAGCGCGAAGCAAAAACCAACTGCAAACTCTATCACGCCCTCGGGAGGAATCGAACCCCATTCTCCTCGTCAGCTCGTTTGCAAATTCACAATAACGATCCGAGGCGGTCTCCATGACCCACGAAGGCTTCCCTCCTTCCATCTCGCCCTCTTATATCCTATGAATAATAAGTTGAATAACGCGATCAGCGCGCGCGAAGCAAAAACCAGACTCAGCTTGTTATGCCCCCGGGAGGAATCGAACCTCCCCCTCCTCGTCAAACTCTTTGCCAAACGACTACGGATTCGAGGCGGTCCCCAAGACCCACGAAGGCTTTCCTCCTACATCCTGCCCTCGTGTATCTCCTATGAACATAATGTGATCAGCGTAGCACGAGGCCAAAAAGCTTCAGTACGTGCCCCCGTCCTCGTTAGCTGCCATTGATGACAGGCTGCGGATCCGAGGCGACGCATGAGGGCATTCCTTCCTTCCTCCTCCCTCGCATCCTCCTCCAAGTACGCCTGCGACTGATAAAAGCAAAACGACCTGGTCCGTGCACCTTACGTAATCACCACTCCCGCCTAGCATTTCGTTGGGCCCCAAGTCTTTCGTCTTTCGTCGTCGGTCTTCGGTCTTCGGCGGCCAGACTACGGGCAGGGGAGGGTGCGCCCACCTACGCCCGAATACGAGTGCACGAATAGATAAGTATCGAGTCCAGGCGTGGAGCGGAATTGTGGCGGGATTGAATGAATGGTGCGCTGGCAGACGGCCAGCGGGTATTGGGGAACGGGAGTGGATTGAGTGCGGCTGTGGGCACAAACTGAGATCAGACGGAGGACACGAGTACTGTAGCGTGGATCAGTCGAGGACAGAATGAATCGGCGGCCGCGTGAATCGGGAGGCCGCGTGTTTGCACTCGACGCGGGATGTCGTGCACTATCAGCGGATACGAGTGGCAATCGATAGACATCGGCGTTGAGGCTGGCGACGCAGCCAAGACACATGGGAGCACACTACCAGCAGCGCAAGAACAAGGAATGCATAATCATAGACATAGATAAAGGCCGGGGCAAGAAAGAATAGAAGGATCCGCACCACAGAAAGGAAAGGAAAAGTGGTGCAAGGCAAGGAGTACACACAGTGACAAACCAGATTCGGATTCGGAATCGGAAGGATGGAAGAAGAAAGATTCAAGGAAGAAAAGACGGGCTGAAGGAACCAAGAAAGAATGGATGCATATGTAGGGCGGAGATGGCGCCGGGGAAAGACACGCTAACTAGGAGACACAGTAACTAAGTAGGGCAAAACCAAAACCAAGGGAAAAAAGGACATGGAAAAAGAAAAGAGAAAAACAGACAAGAAGGAAGGAAAAGGGATACACGGGACGTACATACATACAACACGCGGTAGTAGTAGGAGGATAGATAGATAACGATAGCAACGCGAAAGCAGGCTGGTGAGGGATTCCATCCGTCCGTCCATCCATCGAGAACGGCAGGGGCTTAGGCCTGGGGGAGCAGCGTGCGTCAGTACAGTGGCACCACGTAAGGATGGGGAAGACGTACCGCTGCAGCCTCCGCCTCGGCAGCGGCCTCTGCCTCTGCCTCCTCGGCGATCGTCTCGCCGACGGCGGGCGCGGAAGATACGGGCGCGGCGTCGGCCTGGGGGTCGTCAGCAGCGAGTGGGAGACACAAGGCAAGCAGGTTCGTCAGCAGGTGAGACATTCGGGGAAGAGCAAGAACCGACCTTGGAGGCAGGCTTCTTGGAGCCTGCGCGCGAGGCGGGCTTGACGGACGCCTTGGATGCGGGCTTGGATGCGGGCTTGGCCTTAGAGGCAGGCTTGGCCGCGGTGGCCTTGGAGGCGGGCTTAGACGCCGGCGTGGCCTTGGAGGCGGGTTTCGCCTGTGATAGGGTGGTGTCAGCACGCGATGGCAGGAGATCCAACGACGAGAGGTACCTTCTTGGCTGGGGGGCCGTCAGCATCGCCATCGGGGGCGGCAGCGTCGTCCGCAGCAGCGTCATCGCCGTTGGCGGGCGCCTCCTTGCGCTTGCGGCCGCGCTTGGGCTTGTCCTCGTCGGCGGCGTTGGGGTCCTTGTCCTTCTTCACGCGGGGCTTAGCAACCTTCTTCACGGGGAGCTCTGCCTTGGGGAGGTCCTTGATGCGGGACGAGCGACGGGGCTCTGCGGCATCGGCATCGGTGGCGGCTTTTCTGGGCATGGCGAAATGGGCGGGGGGCGGGGCTGGGGGGATTGGGCGCAGAAGCTGGGACGGGTCGGGCACTGGCGGTGGGCAGGGAGCAGACACAAGGACGGGCAGGTGGGCGCAGGAGACAAGACGCGTGAGCACTCACCAACGTTGGCCCTGTTTGGTCGACCTGTCCCTTTTTCCCATCACGTGTGTCGCGTCAAGCGATCAACACAAAACGACTTTTTCGCGTCCTTTCGTCCGTTTCGGCCACCAAACCCTTGGAACGCCGTGTGGACGTGTCTTGTCTCCATATTCTGCTACTGGAAAAGTTTGGGCCCGCAAGCGGTCCAATTGCGCGAATGCAAGCAATCACGGCCATAATGCACGGACCATCTATTCGTTTCTATTCGTTTCTTAACAGGAAACTCCTTTTCTCAGGTCTTTTCTCCAACGGAAACTTCGGGCGACCGCTGAAGGAAATTACTGACATATTTTCAAGCTTCCTGGATTATTATTGGTATGACACATGTTGATTCTGTCGCCTACGCCGCTCCGATATTTCCAACTGCCATTAAGGTTGCAAATGGCAGGAATGAAGCCTTCGTGGACCATGGTGGTCGCCTCGATTCCATGTGGCTTTTCTCCACTGCGATTTAACGAGGGGAAGGAGGTTCAATTCCTCCCGAAGGCATGGACCACGGTTGCGTATCCATTTTTTGGCACTGCACCTTTCTGGGTAGTGATTTTTTACTGCTCTCATTAGGGTTGCAAACGGAAGCAATAAAGCCTTCGTGGACCATAGTGGTCGCCTCGCTTGCATATATGTTGATTCGTCCGGAGTAACGAGGAGAAGGAGGTTCGATTCCTCCCGGGGGCATAGCAAGGTATACTGTGGGTGTTTTTACTGTACGGCATCCAATGATTTTTGTTGCTTATTGGGGTGTAAATGGCAGCAAGAAAGCTTTCGTGGATCATGGTGATCGCCTCGCTTCCATGAATTAAGTACATGGTTCAACGAGGAGAAGGAGGTTCGAATCCTCCCGGGGGCATTAGGTTTTACCGGAACATTTTTCCCTAGCCTCACGTTCCTTTTTTAACTGCTCTAATCAGGATACGGAATTCAGCAAGAAAGCCTTCGTGGACCATGGTGGTTGTCTCGCTTGCTTAAAGATGACCTCACAGTCCACATTCAGTAAAGAGGAGGTTCGATTCCTCTCGGAGGCATTGATATTGGTCGTATTATTTTATTTCGCCATTCCAAAATGTTACAGTAAGGTGCAACCCTAACAATCCGTGGTTGACCATGGTGGTTGCCTCAGCCCATGAAGTGGTGCTGGACGAATCCTAGTGAGGAGGAGGAGGAGGCTCGAATCGTCCCGCAGGTATTCTCGGTTATCGGTTTATTTTATTTCGCCATTCCAAAATGTTAACATGTTGATGTTGAACTGGTCTCATTAGGGTACGAAATTCAGCTAGCAAGCCTTTGTGGATCATGGCGATCACCTTGATTGCATTAAGCACTGTGTTGCCAATGGCAACGAGGAGGTTCGAATCCTCCCGAAGGCATAGTTGGGTGCCTGAAAGCTTTTTTTTCTTCTGTCCCCCACGCATGATTCTGAGTTCCGCTACTTATTATGGTGTAAGGGTTAGCAGGGAGTGCGTTCGTGGATCATGGTGATCCCCTCGCTTCCGTAGTAGAGGATGAGGAGGTTCGATTCCTCCCGGAGGCATGGTCTTGCCCGAACACTACTTTTTTTTCTGACCCCGCACGCATAATTCTGACTCCTTCAGCTGTTTATTAGGGTCTTCGTGGACAATAGTGGTTGCAGCAGTTCCATCAACAATTTCGCGAGGTTTGATTCACATTGACTGTCCGACTGAACTTTTTTTTGCGCGGCGTCTAATTATTTCTGCTGCTGATTACCAAGGTGTAAAAGCTAGCGAACAAGCCTTCGTAGATCATGATAATCACCTCGCTTGCATAGGACATCCTAGATAAGTACATGTAACGAAGAGAAGGAGGTTCGATTCCTCCCGAAGGCCTATCGATGCCTTGAATTTTTTTCTTTCCTTTTTGCCACTCACCTTGCCTCAATTCTGATTGTTAATTTTATTTTAACCGTTCTCATTAGGGTGCAAATCGCAGCTAACAAGCCTTCGTGAACCATGTTGTTCGCCTCGCTTCCATGATTCGAGTCGCATGACACGTTGTGACGAGGAGAGGAGGTTCGATTCCTCCCGGGGGCATTATTAGATGGCATGTCTTTTTTTTTTGCCCTGCGCCTGTCTGAATCACTGAGTTTTAACAGTTCTCATTAGGGCTGCAAATGCCAGGAATAAAGCCTTCGTGGACCATGGTGATCGCCTCGCTTGCATATAGTGTATGTGGATGACATGGAACGAGGGAAAGGAGGTTCGATTCCTCCCGAAGGCATGGACCACGTTGCGTATCCTTTTTTGGCACTGCACCTTTCTGGGTAGTGATCTTTTACTGCTTTCATTAGGGTTGCAAACGGAAGCAAGAAAGCCTTCGTGGATCGTGGCGATCACCTCGCTTACTTAGAACCTTCGCTGAAGATGTAACGAGGAGGAGGTTCGATTCCTCCCGGGGGCATCGCAAGGTATACTGTGTGCGTTTTTACTGTACGGCATCTAATGATTTTTGTTGCTTATTGGGCAGTAAGAAAGCCTTCGTGGACCATGGTGGTCGCCTCGCTTGCATGGATCGGCCCAGATTGAATTAGTAACGAGGAGATGGAGGTTCGATTCCTCCCGGAGGCATACGCCGTTCAAGACTTTTTTGCATCCCGCTTTTTTCAAATTAGACCTGTGTGGTGCAAAGCGAGCAAAGCGCCTTCCCGGAATGGTGGTTGCATCAGTTCCATGAAACAATTTTGCGAGGTTTGATTCACAGTGGCTGTCGACTCCGACATGACTTTTTTTTTGGCCCACCTTCTAGTTATTTTTATTGCTCTCCTCAGGGTGTAAAAGCTGACAAGAAAGCCTTCGTGGATCGTGACGATCACCTCGCTTACTTGAAACCTTCCTAAATATGTAACGAGAAGGAGGAGGTTCGATTCCTCCCGAGGGCATTCTTTTTGCATTCGCCTTCTCAAGTGTTGGTTTTTAACTGCTATAATTAGGGTGCAAATGGAGCTAACAAGCCTTCGTGGACCATGTTATTCGCTTCCATGATTCGAGTCCCATACACGTTGTAACGAGGAGAGGGGGTTCGATTCCTCCCGGAGGCATGATCTTGCACGAACACTGCTTTTTTTTCTGACCCCGCACGCATAGTTCTGACTTCTTCTGCTGTTTATCAGGGTCTTCGTGGACAATGGTGGTTGCAGCAGTTCCATCAACAATTTCGCGACGTTTGATTCACATTGACTGTCCGACTAGACTTTTTTTGCGCGGCATCTAATTATCTCGCTACTTATTAGGGTGTAAAAAATAGCAAGCAAGCCTTTGTAGATATGGTGATCGCCTCACTTGCATAAGATGTCTCGAATAGGTACATGTAACGAGGAGAAGGAGGTTCGATTCCCCCCGAAGGCCTATCGACTTTCCTTTTTGGCACTCACCTTGCCTCAATTCTGATTGCTAATTTTATTTTAACTGTTCTCATTAGGGTTCAAACCGTAGCTAACAAGCCTTCGTGGACCATGGTGATCGCCTCGCTGCCATAACGGCTTTGTTAGGATGTAACGAGGAGAAGGAGGTTCGATTCCTCCCGAAGGCATTCCCAGGAGAAATGATCCACATTCTTTTTTGCACTGCAATTGTTAATTACAATTTTTTACCTGCGCTCATTAGGGTGCGAAAGGTTCCCAGGAAAGCCTTCGTGGACCATAGTGATCGCCTCGCTGCATATAATGTATTTGTATGACATGGAGCGAGGGGAAGGAGGTTCGATTCCTCCCGAAGGCTTCCAGGAGTTGGATTTGGACTTCTTTTTGTTTCGGAAACCAGCTGATAATCTCAAGTACCTGTGTGGTGCAAAATCCAGCTGGGAGCCTTCCCAATGGTGGTTGCATCAGTTTCATGAATAATGTTGTAAGGTTTGATTCAATTGGCTGTCGACTCCAGGCATTTGGGGTAGTTCTGTGCTTTTTTTACCGTTGCGGGGGTATTCGGCTTGAGGCCTCGAGGTACTGGTAGCTTATCATTTTTTCTCCCATAATTCTGGGTTCTGCTATTTATTAGGGTCTTCGTGGACAGCTGCTTATTATGGTTGCAAAAGCTAGGTAACAAGCCTTCGTGGATCATGGTGATCGTCTCGCTTACATGTAACGCTCCTCACGCATGTAACAAGGAGAAGGAGGTTCGATTCCTCCCGAGGGCATCATGATCTCCGCCTGTTTTTTTCTTTCTTTCCTTTTCCGAGTACTGATTGATGATTTTTCACTGCTCGCATTATAGTCATAAGAAGTAACAAGAAAGCCTTCGTGGAACATGGCAATCGCCTCGCTTGCATCAACGGCGAAGCCATCAATGTGACGATGAGAAGGGGGTTCGATTCCTCCTGAGGTATCCCTCAGCATTTACCAGGTTTTTTTGGGGGGGCACTACGCCTTTCCGATCCTTGATTTCTAACAGCTTTCATTAGAGGTAACGGTAGCAAGAAAGCCTTCGTGGACCATATGGCCATGGTGGTCGCCTCGCTTCCATAGACCGCCACGGAATAATTACTAGTAATGAGAAGGAGGTTCGATTTTCCCGAAGGCGTGGTCGCTGATGGGTCCATGATTTTTTCCCCCAGTTGCATTCAACGTACTTTATTGCGACTGTTGATCACTGCTCTCATTAGAGTTGAAACAGCTGATAAGAAAGCCTTAGTGGATCATGGCGATCACCTCACTTTCATCGTAATGGGATCAATGAGTATGAACAGTAACGGGGAGGAGGAGGTTCAATTCCTCCCTAAGGCATTCATTGTTCAAGACTTTTCTTTTCTTTTTCGGCATCCGGCTGGTAATTTAGGAAACCTGTGTGGTACAAATCCAGCACGGAGCCTTCGTGGACTCTAGAGATCGCCTCGCTCTCGTAGACCGCCATGGAATAATCACTAGTAACGAGGAGAAGGAGGTTCGAATCCTCCCAGAGACATTCGTCGGCATTTAGCAGTTTTTTTTTCTGCACCTCGGCATTCTAAAATGTTGATTTTTTGACTGCTCTCATTAGTCTTGTTGCATCCAGCGATGAAGCCTTCGTGGACCATGGTGGTCGCCTCGACTCAATTGAGTGGCCTGCACAAACATGTGACGAGGAGAAGGAGGTTCGAATCCTCTCGGGGGCATGGGTTCTTGTGTCTACATTTTTCACGGCGCCTTTCCGATGGCTAATTTTTATTGCTCTTATCAGGGTTGAAATGATAGCAAGCAAGCCTTCGTGGATCATAGTGGTCGCCTCGCTTGCATAGATTGTACCTGAAATGGAACGAGGAGAAGGAGGTTCGATTCCTCCAGAAGGTACTTATGCCTGTTGTATGTTTTTTTTTTGCCCTTCGCCTTCCCGATTGTTGATTTCAACCCTCTTATCAGCGTGTAAATGGTAGCAATAAAGCCTTCGTGGACCATGGTGGTCGTATCGCTCACATGTAGCTCCCCCAACGCATTTAACGAGAAGCAGGAGGTTCGAATCCTCCCGAAGGCATAGATCCTTGTGGCTGCAGTACATTCTTTTTTTGCGCTCCCGTAGTTCTTGCTTCTGCTTATTAGGGTACGGAATTCAGGTATCAAGCCTTCGTGGATCATGGAGATTACCCCGCTTTTATAGGTGGTGGGCAAACGCATTTGTAACGAGGAGAAGGAGGTTCGATTCCTCCCGGGGGCATAGCAAGGTATTCTTCTTTTGGCACCTGGCCTCTCCGATTGATAATTCTCAACTGCTCTCATTAGGGTTGCAAATGCCAGGAATAAAGCCTTCGTGGACCATGGTGATCACTTTACTTGCATGGGATTAGTATTGCCGGTAATAAAGAGAAGGAGGTTCGATTCCTCCCGGAGGCATGCCTCGGCCGTACAACAGTTTTTGTGCACTGCACCTTTCCGAGTGTCGGTTTTTAGCTGCTCTCATAAGGGTTGTAGAAGATACCAAGGAAAGCCTTCGTGGACTATGGTGGTCGCCTCGCTTGCATATACAGCGCTCACACGATTTATGGAACGAGGAGGAGGTTCGATTCCTCCCGAGGGCATAACTGGTGCAGTTTATTCTTTTTACACTTCACGTTTCCGATTCCTGATCTTGACTGCTCTCATTAGAGTTGTATGTAAAAGATACCAAGGAGAGCCTTCGTGGATCATGGTGATCGCCTCGAGTATATAGGACGGCACCCAGTGTAACGAGGAGAGGAGGTTCGAATCCTCCCGAAGGCATTATTCCAGATGGAAATTTTTGTCACCGCCCGCCTAATTCTGACTTTCCCTTCTTATTAGGGTACGGAAGTCAGCAAAAAAGCCTCCGTGGAGCATGGTGGTCGCCCTTGGTCGCCTCGCTTGCATCAATTCCTCCCGAAGGCATGGTTCTTGTCTCACTCCATATTCTTTTTTGCACTTCGCCTTTTTGAATGCTCATCTTTAACAGCTCTTATTAGGAAAAGCTAGCGAGCAAGCCTTTGTGGATCAAACCAAGTTGAACCATGTGGTAATCGAGATTATGACACATGAGTTTGTCATATGTGTTACGATTTTGTGGTCCGTCCATCCGGTTAGTCTTCGCGTTGCCGCCTCCACCATGTCCACTCCAACGCGCGTCCTGGCGGCGCCCATTCCTCAAAAACGCGAGAAACATGAGACTCGTTCCTTCATTTCATCAGGATGCCCCCGAACGTCGCGAAAGCCCTGCAGACCGTCTCCCTCGTCGGGCAACACAAGACCGCCATCGTCGTCGGCGGGACGCTCGGTATCGGCGCCGCCATCGCGCGGCACCTCGCCAAGCTGGGCTGCAGTCGCGTGGTCATATTCGGGCGCAACGAGGCGCGCGGCGCGGCGGTGCTGGAGGAGCTCAAGCGCCTTGCCCCGAAAGACACCTCAATCGAGGTGGAATTCGTTAAGGGAGAGTTGTCGTGCGTGTTTTGTTTTCTGTGCTGTATATGAAGGCTGAATGGTCCCGTTGGGGAATTAGGGATGTCCAGAGTATGCGCGCGGCTGCGGGGGCTCTTCAGAAGGCCGCAGGGGAGACAGGGATTGATTACCTCGTGCGCAGAGGATCCTTTGCAATGGTGCATTCACTGACAAAACACATTGGTTGTAGGTTATGTGCCAGAAGGGACTGCCGACGGGCACCATAAACGAAAACGCGGATGGGTGCGCAACTGCATACTCTACATGCGCGTATTGGCTTATTAGAATTCAGCTACGACACGGCTTTCGCGATCCAAGCCATATCGCGCTTCGCGCTAGCGTACCTCCTCACCGAGCGCGGTGCGCTTACCTCAGACGCAGCTGTCATGTCTATCGCGGCCACGGGGGAGTCCTTCGACGCCCTTTCCGTCGACGACCTCTCGCTGGCACGCCACCTCGCCACGGGGATCAGCCAGACCACGATGTTTCTCGACCAGGCGAAGCGGGATAGCAGTGTGCTCGATGCATTACACGAGGTGCGCGACGACCGTACATCGCGCATCCCCTACGGCTGACCTGTGGGCGAATACACAGGAGTTGAATATAAAGTACCCAAAGTACCGATACTTCCACCTCTCTCCCGGTACGCGGCCCTTTCATTATGCATTATATCAATGTACGCTAGGTATGAGCTAAACCGCACGTAGGTCTCGTCTCCACCGAACAGTTCGACATCAACAAGTTCCCCGGGCTCCTCAAGTATGGCGTCTGGCTCGGGCAGAAGCTCATGGGCACCACGCCCGAGCAGTACGCGGCGCTGCCGGTTTATGTGCGTCTTTTGATTCCTTCCTCTACCTTCCTTTACTTTCCTCGAACTCTCCTCGTCCTTCCGTCCCTTCCTTGCTTCGTCATCAACATCCTGACCCCCCTCCTATTCCATCTCCCCAGCTCCTCACCGCCCCCGCGCCCTCCATCACCGGCCGCTACTTCGACAGCAAGCTCAACCCCGGGCGCCTCGGTCGGTGGGCCGCCGACGCAAGGAACCGCGAGGCGCTGTGGGGACGGTTGGTAAGAGTTGTGGATGGGGGGGAAGATTAGGTTGAATTAAGGTTCGATTTTTTTTGGGAGGGGGATGTACGTCCGGAGCGAGCAACACGAATCTTGGATAAATACATTTTCAGCCAGTTCGAGAAGTGTCTGCACTTGCGTACATCAATGTTGAACTTTGAACCTGATACGATATATTCGAATGGATCGAAGCAACACAAGTCGCTTTGCTCACGAAGGCTTGCTTACTAGCTTTAAGTTTTGCACTCTGATAAGCAGGAGTACGGATTATGCGGGTCATAAAAACATATATATATAAAAGAAAGAAGGCGGACAATAATGCCTCCGGGAGGAATCGAACCTGTCGCAAAAACCCGGTTTAGCTTGCAAGGGATTGACGCGGCTTAAGACCTTGAAGCGACCTGAAGGAGATTACAAGCCGCCCACGGAGAGGCTTACAATCCACTGTAAGCCGTCTCAATTCCCTTCAAGGTAGAGGGTGGCTTATGAGGGCTTTACACGGCTCTTCGGATGTGTGTATATTTTATGAATCTATGCCATTGGATCCTTCACTCTCCGAGCAGAGTTCGCTGTAATCCCAGAGTACTGTAAACCGCATGGGGCCAAAGAGTTGTTGCGGAGTTGAGAAGATGAGGAGTGTGATAACGGATCAGTGTCACGTAATTCCTGTTTGATTTCGTCTTGTCTCCCGCTTTCACAACACTTTTCTCTCTCTTGCTCTCTCAGTTTCCCATATACCGGTACCTGTCTGAATGACCTTTCACCCGCTCGCGTCCGCCGGGCTGTTGCAGCATTATGGGCCCCCCTAGTTGCCGGCACCTGTGGGGCTCTGTGGGGCCAACCTCGGCTAGGTGTGGGGCAGAGTGGAGCAGCAACTATATAAGAGACGGGCAGGTGAGTTTTTGCATCTCTTCTCTTCCCATGCCCCCACATCAAGTCAACGCACTCCGGGGGGTACCTAGTGGGCTCAGGCAGATATTCTGACCCTGTGGCTGACTCCAAGCAAGCCTCAGACTCTGTCTGCATCGCCTGCGTCAGGTGGCCCAGAGGTGGACACAGTGAGATGGACGCTGGTGGACGAGACTGAGCACCATCTGTTGTGCGTACTGTGCATGTTTGCATTGATTCTCGCTGACGTTGTACAGGTTGACATCGATCCCTAATAATGTAATGATCACTGCGCTCTCGTGTGCTCTTATTTTTATATCTGGTTTTATCAATTGACTTAGATTGTTGTCTTTTCGCACCAACACAGAGCATGACGGCGACGACGATGGCTCGGAGCGCAACGACGGCTTGGAGCTCAACGACGACTCGCGTTCCCTTCCACGTCTCGCGCAGTGTGGTGGTCCTCGCACCAGTCACGGGCGCCACAGAACTGAGAGAGAAGCAGTTCCTCATTGAGAGAAAGAAACAGTCTGTTAAACAGCGGCGCTAAATACTCATATCATTCCATACACAATAAATTCAATTATGCAATTTTTAAACATGTTGTTGAGCTGGATTTTGGTGTATAAAAGGCACATGCAAGCTCGTAATGTCTTGAGACTACGTCAATGGCTTGTAGGGGCTTTGATGTCATGGCTGTGGATTACGGCGGCTTTTAGGTTTTTTGGTGGATTATAAGGACCCAAACTATCTGCTTCAAGCCGGTCAAAACCTTACGACCGTATACCGGCTTGCAACCGGATACAAGCCGTTGAATTCCGAGCAGGATTTTTGCGACACCTCCTCCTCGTTACACCGGATTCGAAAACATATATTCAAGCGAGATGACCACCATGGTCCACGAAGGCTTTCTTGCTGCCTTGTGCACCCTAATAACCAGGAGTACGAATTATGCGGTAACAGGAAAAAAAAGAAAGCAGGCAGACCAATGCCTCCGGGAGGAATCGAACCTCCTTTTCCTCGTTAAATACGTAGGAAGCACAATAAGTAAGCGAGGCGATCACCATGATCCACGAAGGCTTTCTTGATACGTTTCACACCGTGATAGGAAGCAAAAGTAATTAGAAGGCGGCGTGCAGAAACAGGATACAGAAGATATCACAGTCATGCCTCCGGGAGGAATCGAACCTCCTTCTCCTCGTTGCATTTGCGTTCCGTTCTAATAGAAGCGAGGCGACCACCATGGTCCACGAAGGCTTTATTGATACCTTTTACACCTTCATAGGAAGCAAAAGAAATAATTAGAGGGCGTGCAGAAAAAAGCTTAAGTTGCGAGCCTCGCATGCCTCCGGGAGGAATCGAACATGAGGTCGGCCGAATTCCGCCGATCACCCATTTGCACAAATTTCCCTCACCAATTTAGTTTTCACCAAGTTTTCGCCAACAGACTCAGCTGCAGTACTTTCCGATCTCAGACTCTCTGAGGCATTTTGCAGATGTTTAAAGTTGATCTAGACAACAAGAATATCTCGCAGGGCCGTATCTTGAAGGCCAGAGAGAATTAAAGATATGCCAGCGGGCATCTCAGCACTCCACCCATGGCTTTGTGGGGCCTCCTTATCGACCAGCATTTCATACGGAAGGCCACTCGTAGTTGAAAGGAGGGGATCTCCACCACGACAATTTATGAGAAAAAAGCTGTACGCAAAACAAACAGTCCAAGGGAAACAATAGTTGGCTTGCCGCTATTGGACTCGGCTGCCCCGCCATGTCGGTCCCCAGACATTGCATGCGATCACAAATAACAACCCTACGCCAACGAGACCCGCAAAAAGTCCTGAGGCTTTGGCCTCGCCGAAAGAATCGAAGGCCAAAGGGAAATAGAATGGCGCGATCTGCCGCAGGTTGTGAGTAGGTATCGAAAACATCAGCATATTTACTCACGAATGGATACAGCTGCCTCAGGAATGCAATGAAAGCCGAAACGTCTGCCGTCTCTTCCAGGTACGACTCGATAGCGTACGTGACACAGACTGTTGTCACCAGCTGCTGACCAAAGATCGCTATGGCGGATCCAATATCCTGGTTTTCCATCATGGTGTTACAAACATGAAGAATTATTATATTTTGCAAGCATACCGGTGTGACGTTCCATTTTCCTGCAGTACCGTTCTGTAGTTGTACACCCCAGACTGAAAGTATTGTTTAGCGGGGAAGGTAAGGAAAACAAGATACTGACCGATTAATCCAACAATGGATAACAGGAAGCCAGGCGTTGCGAGAGCTAGCCGAAATTCGGGAACCCGTCGGCCACCAGCACGCTTTGTGCGCCAGTTTACGAGGACATCGCTCCCGTAACCAGCTATTTGCTCCCCAAGGACGCCTCCGATAAGGAGGGAAATGAACTGTAGACTCATCTGTCCGGGCCCGAGATGGAACTTTTCACCGAATAACTGAAAATAGGATATAGTTGAGCGGGTGATACATGGGAAGGAGAATATTTTCTAACTTGAGGGATCAAGATGGTCTAGTGGAGCGTTTTAAGACTCAGGCCGGCGTAAATTCGGGCAGTGGCTCACCATCAAGACATTAGTATACGAAAATGTTATGGAATATGCGAGAGCAGGCAGAAGGACCACTGGGCGAAAAACCATGAGCAACGGCCGACAGATCTCTTTCACAGAGATGGGCCTTCGGTCGAAGATCTCGAAGGTGAAATATTGACGCCATCCTGTACGCTTTGCCGCTTCCTTCTCGTCGTATCCTTCGCCTGGAGACCGACGGTTCATATAAAGTGTCTCTGGAGCGAAGAATAGATGCGCAAAGAAGAGAGCAAGCTGAATAGCAGCAAGCAAGTAGAACGCGGACCGCCATCCCTTGTCCTGGACCAGGTATCCGATGCTGAAGAATATTTAGTTGGTAATAAATGCGGAGAACCAAGTAGCTCACATTATAGGACCTAAAATAGGACCGATGGTTACGGTGAGAACTAGAAAGAGAGAAGATTTGAGTGTGAAATACGAGTAGGCAGGCAAGGTTGCTCACCCCATACGCCCATCTTGCGACCTCTTTGGTATGCAAAGAACATATCGCGGACACTGGACGCGCCTACAGATTGAGCAGACGCGATGAATATCGACTGAAAGGCCCTGGCCACCAATAACGTGCTGTACGAGTGACAGTAGGCTCCCGCAAGGGCGCAAGCCGTTGAAACAAGGGCAGAAATGAGGTAAACGGGACGGCGGCCAATGCGCGAGGCTATCGGAGACCAGATAAGAGGCATTACGCCCAGACAAATAATTTGAATAGACCTGGAGCGACGATTAGGATACTCCTGAACTTTGTATGTATAGCAAGAACGTACACGATATATGTCACCCGGTTTAACGAAATCTTTAACTCCGCAGCCAGCTGCTGCAACGCCGGGACAACAATTGCTGTTTATTTGATTAGCTATAAGTATGCAGTGACGGCGGGGTGGTTATGCATTACCCGCACTAAAGGGCCCCTGCATCGCATGAATGCTCACGATATACAAGACAACATTCTTCTTCCATCTGCACGGTTCCTAATCAAGATGACAGCAGCAAACACAGCTGGAGACGTGCGATGGCCAGTTCAATGGATCAGCTGGAGAGTCTGAGGGAACCGGCACTAAATCCTATAGAGCTGTGAGACAGACGTGGAGAGCAGGGAGAACGCATGCAACGGACTACTCCTCCGTGGACTTCGTGAAGCTCGGCAGCGGTTTGGACGGCCTCTACGGAGCTGGGTTCCGTTTTGCCCGCTTCGGAGTCAGCTTTTTCTGAGCGTTCAATAGACATGGAACCAGTAGACGTTCAAGTGGGCATCTCACTCGTCCCCCGCTTTTGAGTCTTCGAAAGCGATCAATTCATATAAGCCCGGGAGCCTCCACGATGCCGTAACGTCCGAGATCGATACAGCGGAGCTAGAAACCCGCGGTATGTTACTTATCAGGAAGAGATTCTGGAGGAGTAGAGGTTACTGTACTATTACGACCAAGTGTTCATTAATTTCAGAAATTTCACTCACCGAGATGGCCGATAAAATTTCTTTTGATTTATGGTGATTTTTAAAAGCCTCAGAAAATTTGGCCGTCACGCGTCACCTGAACACTTTGGTCGTAATGGTACAGTAGAGGTTCTGATGGATAAGTAAAGAAGCTGCAGTGTGTAAGATGAAAAGTGAACATGGCCGCGGTCTGTCGTGGTTCGATGCAAAGTTCGATGGTTCGATGCGCCGTTTTTCGCAAACAGAACGTTTGCAGAACGTTCTTTTGTGTCGGAATCAGCTTATGTCACTAGTCGGAGTTGGAAAATGACCTGCTGACCTCCGATTAACCTCCGACTCGGCAACTGCCACTCAACAAAAAATAACTCCCTTGTCAATGTTCAACTGCTCTCCGGGCCAAGATAAGAAAAAAAAAACACACACAATTGGCAAAATATTCGCTGTAAATATACCCCGACCCCACGCAAGCTGGTCGGTGCGCAACTGGGTTCGGTCGTATTCAAGCGAGACGACCACCATGGTCCACGAAGGCTTTTTTGCTGTCTTGTGCACCCTAATAAGCAGCAGTATGAATTATGCGGGGACAGAAAAAAAAGAAAGAAAGAAGGCAGACAATTATGCCTCTGGGAGGAATCGAACCTCCTTCTCCTCGCTACATGGAGGGAGAATGATGCATGGAAGCGAGGTGACCACCATGGATAAGACTCAGGATAAAAATGGTTCACGATAGCTTTATTGATACCTTTTACACCTTGATAGGAAGCAGAAGAGATAATTAGAAGGCGTACAGAAAAAAGCTTAAGTGGCGAACGTCCATGCCCCTGGGAGGAATCGAATCTCCTCCTCCTCATTACACTGGGTTCGGTCATATTCAAGCGAGGCGACTACCATGGTCTACGAAGGCTTTTTTGCTGCTTTGTGCACCCTAATAAGCAAGAGTACGAATTATGCGGGGATAGAAAAAGAAAGAAAGAAAGAAGGCGGACAATAATGCCTCTGGGAGGAATCGAACCTCCTTCTCCTTGTTAAATTCCTGGGGAGTACAGTAAGTAAGCGAGGCGATCACCATGACCCACGAAGGCTTTATTGATACCTTTTTACACCTTAGTAGGAAGCAGAAGAAATAATTAGAAGGCGCGCAGAAAAAAGCTTAAGTTGCGAGCCTAGCATGCCTCCGGGAGGAATCGACCTCCTTCTCCTCGTTACATACATGTGTTGCACGTGGCATACACGCGAGGCGATCGCCATGATCCACGAAGGCTTCATTGCTGCCATTTTCAACCCTAATGAGCAGCAGAAATAATTAGAAGGTGTGAAAAAAAAAGATGACCATGCCTTCGGGAGGAATCGAACCTCCTCCTCCTCGTCGCACAACATTCCGATTCAGGTATTCAAGCGAGGCGACCACCATGGTCCACGAAGGCTTCATTGCTGCCATTTTCAACCCTGATGAGAGCAGCAAAAAATTAACAATCGGAAAGTCGAAGTGCAAAAAGGAGCGTGTACAATGATTGTGAATGCCTTCGGGAGGAATCGAACCTCCTTCTCCTCGTTCCATGCTAACAAAACGGTTATGGCAGCGAGGCGATCACCATGGTCCACGAAGGCTTGTTAGCTACGGTTTACGCCTCTACTGAGGGGAGTCAAAGATAAGCAATCAAAAAGGCGAAGTGCAAAAAAAGAATATGGATCCGGTGGACCCTGGAATGGGCCACGAAGGCGTGCTTGCTGCCCTTTCAACCCTAATGAGAGCAGCGAAAAAACAGCACTCGGAAAGGCGAAGGGCAAAAAAAGATATACAGTCAAGCCCCATGCCTTTGGGAGGATTCGAACCTCCTTCTCCTCGTTGCATGCTGATAATGACCTTCTGGTTATGCAAGCGAGGCGACCACCATAATCCACGAAGGCTGTTCTCCTACCATTTGTAACCCTAATGAGAGCAGCGAAAAACAGCACTCGGAAAGGCGAAGGGCAAAAAAGGTACATAATGAATCTCCATGCCTTTGGGAGGATTCGAACCTCCTTCTCCTCGTTGCATGCTAACAACAAGCTTCTGGCTATGCAAGCGAGGTGATCACCATGATCCACGAAGGCTTTATAGCGGCCATTTGTACCTTAATGAGAGCAGTTAAAGATGAGCAATCGAGGCGACGTGCAAAAAAAAGAATATGGATCCGGTCAAATTGGAATGCCTTCGGGAGGATTCGAACCTCCTTCTCCTCGTT